CCGTCCGGTATCGGGACTTCGCCCCGACTACTTCGGACTCGACCAGCTGTGGCGCACCAGAATAGTGGGTGGGTCTCCCAACGAAGGCCGTTGTGTACACAAGATTTCGAACTCGAGACCTTACTTAAGCTGGAACAAACCACTTGCCATTTGATTCAACCCCTCGTTGGTATTAATCCTTTCTTGTGATAATTAATATATATTTTAAAAAATATTATATAATCTAAATTATATAATTTAAATTATTAAATAAAAGTAAGTCTCTTAATTTTAAAAGTTTTTTCTTCTATTCAATGATTTATATTAATTTTTTTTATTTAATAATTTATGTTTTACAATATATTATAATTCAAAAATTAAAAAAGAAAGAAAAGAAAGAGAAGAAAGAGTAACTCTTTTTTTTTTATAAAGATAATGGTTAGAAAGTTAGTATGAATTAATTGTTAACAACTAAGGATTCGATTCTTAAATCGGGTGAACATTCTATTCCCTCAAATAAGATATGCAATCATTAAACTACTTTTTGATAAAATTCATAACAATAATAAAAGTTGAAACTTCATCTACCTCCACCCACCTACCCAAGTAATTAAAGTTTGGAGTTTCGAATAATGGACTAAAGGTGCGATTCGAAAGGGTAACTCTTTTCTTCCATCTGGAGTTGTTAAAATTGTACATAAAGCACGTGCGCATTTACCATTTTTCCAGGAACCACCGTGTACGGTTGCCGTTTCTGACTCATCTCTGAATAATTAATAACAAAAATATTATAATTATAATGTTAAATAATATTATAAATTATAATATAATTTATTATTATATAATTTATTTTTATTTAAGAATCAAATTTATAATATTATATATATATTTATTTAATATTATTTCATACTTATCTAATATTATATTTATTTAATACCATTTTATAATTATAAATTTATAACCTTATATAACATTACAATTATAGCATCTAACATTGTGAAATTAATGCCAACAACTTAATAATAATTTTTTTAATAAAAATAAAAGATTTTAAGTTCAAATGCATAATATATAAGTAGAATGAGTTAAAAGATGAAAAAAATTTATCTTTTATTATATAATATAAAACAAAAAAATAAAAAAATAAAAAAAATAAAAAAACCATTGTGGAATTAATAAAGGGCATCTGCGCAAACCACTTGAAAAGAGTTTGCGAATTGGCCTTAATTGGACCAACTTTGTTTACTGGGTCGTTAGCTTAATTTTTCCCATGATTAAAATAATGCCGTAGTTGAGCACATGCGTCAAGGTCAATTTATTTTGTTTATTAAAAAACAAAATGTTGTTAGGTGATTCAATATTTAATTTCTTTGGGAAAATTTCCTTACAGTGGGTTTAC